ATCCTTGTCTATTTCGTCGAAAACTTCATGTAGAATTTTATCTTGCAATTCTTGATCTAAGGAAAGGGATAGTTCTGAATGTAGCCGGAGGTCCATGGCAGGATAATTATTGAATCTTGAGCGATATACTTCTAGAATATCTAGTTCAGCCTAAGTTGCTGATATATCGCAATCAAGAATATCATAAACGATTATCTATAATAATGCAAAACGAATTAATATTTTTCTTATCATATCCGTATGCATTGCAAATAAAAGATGCGGCCCTTGTTTTCATCTAAATATTCTACCTCATTTATATTACCGCTGTCAGCACCTTCGTCGCTTTTAATACCTTCCTCATTATTGGTGCTAGCAGTATTACTGTTACTGTCTTCCTCGTTATTGACGCTATCATTATTGTTACTACCTTTCTCATCATCGGCATTTTCACTATTCTGCTGAACAGTAATTAAATTTTAAATATGCATCCACAATAATTCAGAGTATTAAAAATGTTACCTTTTGTCTTCCTCCATTCCTAACAAGGGTGTTTAATTCTTGGTGTACTTCCATATTTGTTTCATGAATTTCATCGCGAATTGACCTCTATCGGATAAAGTTATCATAGTTAGTTGCGAGCTTAGTTGAAAGTTTGTGATTGAACGCACTGATTTTTTTTCTATAAGCCACAATTCCCAATCTGAATTACACTATTAATGAAGAAAGTATACGTTAGAGATACGATATGCTATAAGCAAAATAATTTTGATTATATACATTAATAGTTTCTTTGAGATTTCTTAGTTTCGACTATTTGTCCGAGTCCTCACAGTAATCAATAGCCTCATCAAGGCATTTTCCGTACTTTTCAATTGCACCGGATTTATGTGTTGGCGTGATAAAACGAAAGAATTCTAGGGGAGTCGGTTATTATACGAGATCATCCAATTAATGTTACAGTACATTGCCTTTTTAATTTTGAGGACGATATTTTCATATTTGACATCTCATCACATAGGTATTAACAAAAAGAAAAAAGAAGAAAATTTAGTAATATTGCTTGACCAAAATCAATTAATAAAACGGTGTGCTGTTGATTACACAACGGCCGGCCATCTCCTGGACGATGACTTGTCAAATACTGGCTTCCGATAGATTTCACTCTACCGCAGGCGCGTCATTCGTTCTTAAAATGGTATAAAACCTACCTCGCTCAAAGAGGTTTGAAGAAGGCGCACAACGGTTAACGGTTCTCCAGTAGTAGTAATGTTGCGGGTATTTGTATTTATGTCCAAGTAGATGTGATATGTCAACACGTGAAATTTTTTGTGGAACTTTTCAGTAATCGTGTGATCTGCTGATTATTCTAATCTGATTGATTAACTCGTGGTATATGCAATTTCTTTGTGAAATGTTTTTTCGCCGTGCATTACATCGTTACAGTTCCACATTCCCTAAATCTACCATTCCCATATTTAAATGAGATCAGAAATGAGCAGAGGAGACGTTTTAAAAGGACAGTATATTTACATTGTGGTTTTTCATTGCTTTATAACGTTTTTATCTAGTTAAATTTTTTTCCATATGCTCTAACATATTTTTTATATTAATTCAACTACATAAAGAGGAAGTATAAGAAACTGAATAAGATTCCCTTTAAGGTTAGTTATTTTGTTCTTGGAATTTATTTTTATCACCATATGTTTTAAATAGTGCAGAATCTTGATAACTCAGATTGAGTAGATATCTAAAGTCTGGAGGCACAGGTTTATTCAGCAATTTATTAAACCTTAGACACATGAAGGTATTTTCTTGATTTTGGTTTAAGATGGATAATTATAATAAATTATGTAAGTCATTGTCTATGTGTTGGCCACGTATAGTTACATGATGTACAGTGGCCTATTAATGAATTGTGAATACTTTTGAAGTCTCAATTACTCAAAATCAGGTAAGTAAATTTAACATCAAATTTTTACTACATGTTTGGGCAAATACCACATTACAACTAAGGATCCTAATGATTTGATTCAATTTGATTTTCAATTTTCAATTCTCAAATTTATATTGAATTTATTATGTGGGTTATAACCCATCATTATTTTTAATAATGTTCTGAATCTTATGCAAGTTTATGCAAGTCTGTTTGATTCCAATTTTCAGGATTATAATTACAACATACTAAAATTTAATATAATTTGATTCATTTGTGCAAAAGTTATGTAAAAAAATTTACAAATTTGGTTTTTTTTATTTGAGTAAAATTAAAAAATTTATTATTATTATTATTCTTCTTCTTCTTTATTTTTTCTTAAAAAATTTTAATATTTTGTAGGTTTTCTCTTAACTTCAATGTATGCCTTAATTTGATTAAACATACTAATAATTAATTAACAACAATAGTCAGTCAGGATTTTATTCCATACCTTTGTAACAAGATTATTTAATTCTTCAAGATTACTGGATTTTTTTGTCTTGCAACATACTAATTTTCATTTCAATTTACATATTTTTTATCAGGTTGAGGTTGAGGCTCTGTGAAAACTAATTTATTACATAAATTTGATTTTTAATAATATATTCTTTTGATAATTAATAATATAGAATCTGGTATTGTCTTGTTGCAAAATTAAATGACCATAACATTTTCTTTCTAGAAATTTTTTATTATGAATAGAATATAACTTTTAAAAATTTTAATATATTATATAGCAATTGCATTAAATTTTAAAAAAATAAGGGGCCCAACACAAAACCACAAGAAACAATTTCAATACATATATATGGCTTGAACTTTGTTTTATAGTAAAGCTAATACAATTAATTTTTTATTTTTTGTCCAATTTGTACTAGGCATGACTATAAAAACCTTAAAAGAGTCAGATTGTAGTTTTATTTAATTATATAACATGCTTGAATTTATTTAAAGAAAAATTTTTGTGTTCAAAAGACCATTTAACTTTTTTTTATATTTATAAGAAAAATAAATAGCTTTGAAATAGTGACACAGACCCTTAGATTTGTGCAATATACAATATATTGTACTTGAAAAAACTTTTTTTTTGTTTTTAACATTAAAAAGATTAGTTATTTGAGTAAGATTTAAATAATAATTACTATTGATGACTAATTTCTTGGGATTAACTAATTAGAGAAAATGAAAAGCAAAGAATATTCAAGACAAGCATTTTTTTTGCACGTTAGAGACACACAAACTATTGAACTTTCTTATAATATTCTATATTATTAACTTGCTGTAACCAATAATAACTATAATAATGCAAAGAAATTATCTCTCAAGTGATTATAAATTATAGAACTTTTTTGGCTACTGGTCAAATCTTTCTTGCTACTTATCAATTATAAAAAAAATAAATTATATTTTTGTTTAATTTAAACTGATTTGTTATATAAACTTATTTTAAAATAATATTAACTAAGTATTACAAATGACCTTGAAAAGAAAAAACAAAAAAAATAAAAATTGATTTTTGCTCTAATATAAAAATAGTAATCTGTCTTGCTTATTGCATAACTTTTGTATAATATAATCAAATGACATGAAATTTTAATATATTGTATCTATAGTTCTGAAAATTGGAATTGAACAAAATTACATAAAATCATATAAAGTTTAAAACACTAATATAAATAATGATAGATTATATCTACCTATTAAATTTAATATAAATTTGAGAATTAAATACAAAATTGAAAAGAATTATTAGAATCTTTAGTTGTACTTCTAGAGTTATTAAACATATCAAGAATTTCATATAAAATTTATTAATCTAATACAAAGCAATTATAATTTCAAACATGTCAACAATTCATTATAGATTACTATAATCTGATAAGTATGAGCATATATACTACTTGAACAAAAATATCACATATTATTTATTTATTCATTACACAAAATTTTATAAAATAATTCTATTTAAAATATCTATATATAAATCATATTCTGTTGACTATCTATTATTTCTAATAACTGCTTCTATTTTTCATGACATATTTTCTATATAATTCATTAATTGATTTTTTGAAATTTTACTCTATTCTTCTTATAATGCAATTTCCAATTTTTTATAATTTTTTATATTTTCTAATCTATTTCTTATTTTTCTTTCCAATTCAGATCACAAATGTTCAATTGAATTTAAATCAGGAGATTGACTTGGCCAATCAGGTAAAATTCTAATTTTATTTTTAAAATTTATTGTTAAATATCTTTAGCTTTATAAATTTGTGCATTATCATTTTGAAACAAATATCCCTTATAATTAAAATTATTATTAATTAAAGGTAATAAATACTTTTCAAGTATTTTAATATAACTCAATCTATTTAATTAATTACTTATTTTTACTAATGGACCTAATCCTTTATCTGAAAAATATCCCTATACCATTATTCCTCCACCTTCAAATTTTACTATTGAAACCATATTTTAAATATTATATCTTGTACCAGGAGTTCTCCAAACACAACCAGAAGCATCATTTTTTAATATTATAAATTTATTTTCATTTTTTGAACAGTTCAATCTTTTCTTTTAATATATTATTTTAGATGATTTTCTCTTTGTTAATTATTTAAAAATAGTTTTTGAGCTGGTATACAAGAAAAAATATTCATTTCATGCAAATTTCTATTAATTGTCTTAGTAAAAACTTCAATATTGGTTTTTTCAATAAATTTGTTTCTAATTTGTTCTGCGGATTTCTTGTTTTTTTCAGCAATTTTTTTTAAAATGGTTTTGTCTTTAAAAGTCAATAGTTTTGAATATCCAGTTTTAGAAAAAATAGCGAGATGTTTTTATTAAGATAATTTTTAATTGTATGAGAAACAGTTGTTTTAAAAATTTTAAGAAGTTTTGAAATTTTTGATAAGAATTGTTTATCTTTATAGAGACCTAAAATTTCACCATGTTGACTTTCAGTTAAATAATACATTTTTGAAATTAAAAATACTGGAAAGGTAGATATATTTATATTTAATTTAATATTTACCTATTAAAAAAACACAAAAATAATACAAATGTTTTTTTAAAATATAAACAATAATTTTAAAATTTTAAATAAAGTTATTATATACATTTTTATATAATAATAAATTTAAGACATGTGATACTTTTGTCCATATAGT